CCGGGATGCGGTGCTGCGAGTGATGGTGACACCGGTGGACATGGAGGTATAGCCACACGCGCTGGTGCTGGCATGCCCAACGAGGAGTTTGCCTCGTGGTCGTGCTTGCCGCCGCGGCCGAACTTGCCGAACAACCCCATGATGGCTAGCGCTTTACTGGTCGGGCGAATTGTGTGTGTGGGGGGTGGGGCAAAAGAAGACGAAACTGGGAAGAAAGATGTGGACTGCACTGACCGGCCCCCCACATCGGCATTTAAAAGGACGGCGTGGACTTCACTGCCTCGCTGACGAGCGGGCCCATGCGCACGCATGCCATTTAATAGGACCCACGATGGTAGTTGGATGGCCGACACGAGGGCCCGAGGCAGACGCTGAATTGGCGTGGGGCGCTTCCTCTCGTGTTCTTGTGGATGCAAATCGCATTCAAATTTCCAAACAGACAGCTCACGGACAAATTTTACGGGTGAGTCGGCGCGTTGGGCCCTGGTTTTCGGTCTCGTGGAACCAAACGGACACACGTAAACAAAATGGGTCGTCCCGTTAAAGTTAGCCTAATGATGCAACTACTGAAGGAATCCCCTCGTCCGGCTCTCAATCTCTGCGGGGGGGAATCTCCACTCACTCACTGCTTCACTGTTGCATGCCCGGTTGTCCATCGGGGCAAGCCCAGCTGCCAGTACCCCTTGGGCATGATGGCGGCTATCATCCCGCCCGCCCCGACGCCTACCCTACCGTCGTCCGCCCCTAGGGCCAGCAGCAGCAATCGATCGATGTCCTCGGCGGGCACGCGCATCGTATCGTATCGTATCCGACGGGCGGCAGCAGCAGCAATGCAGCATCCCCTCCGCCGCCGGGTGCCGCACGTACCATACTCATGGTTCCCTCGCCCAGACGCACTGCGGGGCGTGCGTGCGTGCGTGCATGCGCGCTCGCTCGCTCGGGGCTGAGTTGAGCTGGAATGCTCTGCCACGATGCCCACCTCCACCTCCATTGACCCCCACGCACCGCGGCTCAGCTGCTCCTGCCGCGCCGACATGCGGGCCACCCGTCCCGCCGGGGCCCGCGTGCGCGCGAGTAAACAAGGGACGCCGTGTGTCGCGGGGCGCCTGGAGGGCTTTGGGCACGGTGGGCAACCGGCACGCGCGCGCACCCACGGGCGGGGAGAGCACGAACCCATCGAGTGCGCACGTTCCCCCTCTCTCTCCCCCCCGCCCCATTCATTCATTCGTCTCCATGACTGCGCTGCTCGCATCCTCCATCCAACCTCTCTCTCTGCATGCATCTACTCAAAAGCAGTGCAGTGCAGCGCAGGCATAAAAGAATCGCACACCCGCCCAATCCCAGCATCCAACGCCCTCCGCTGCTGGGTTCATCCGCTGTATAAAACCCTCCCCGCGGTGTCCATCCATCCATCCATCCACCCTCTCTGCCCAGCAGATTTCATCACCTCTCTCTGCCCCCTGCTCTCCACCAATCTGCTCTGCTTGCTCATCGTCTGCAAGCAAATTCTTCCTGAGAGATCATACATCCGCCGTCGGCTCTCGACTGGTATGGCAACCACACAACACAGCATCGCCATTACATCCATCTCGCCGCTTGAGCGCGCGCAGTGCCTTGACGCCGCCCCCTGTGTCGTTTCTGTGTGATGCAGAGTAGGATGCCAACAGCTGTTCGCCGAGTGGTGGCGTTCTTCCTGTGATCGTCATGAGAAGTGGCGCCTCGCGTATTACTACAGATTGTTGATGCAAGTTTGCCAAGTGAGGACAGATCCTCGCGCACCACAAAACTAGTAAGCTACTTGCACAATGTTCCGCTACTTACTTTCAGGTTAATTCTTCTTGTTACTAGCTTTTGAGCATCAGCCTGCTACTTGTACTATTTGCTAGTGGGAGCAGCAACCATGCATCATCTTGTCTCGTAGTAGTTCTTGATTAGCAACTTTCTTACCGCTGATGTCCGTCGGTCGGTACAGGTTTTCCGTAAATTAGTTGGACAATTCGCTTCTCCTGAATCTGTCAATGAAAATATGAAGCCCTTTGCCAACGTTTCAAAAAACTGTAGGAAAGCAACTAAAAAACACTGTAGGAAAGGAAATGCCAGCCGAAATGCTGTTGCATGCAGACAGTAAAGTGGAGAGCAGGACCCACATTTTGGACGGAACTCGACGTCCACGGGCGTGTTGACAAAGTTGCTTGTGGGTGGTCAAAAGAGAAAGGGACGGCGTTTTCAAGTGTGTGCTACAGTAGTGCCCTTTGTTTTGCATTTCTGTTGGTCAAAAGATGGGAGTTGCAGCTAGCAGCAGCACAGGGGGTCATGTTCCTGCGTTTGCTTGTTTGCAAAACAACTTGACATGCGTAGCTAAAATAAGTAGTAGTGCTGTAGTAAATTCAAATTAACGATTATTTATTATAGATCCAAAGGCTAAAGAAATTCCAACTCAAAGAGAAAAGGCACAAAAATTAAAATAATCCATTAGGTCATTTCTCACCTGTAATTTCGCATAACCGTGCCCTCTCTAGTTCATCCGCTTCTTGTAGGCACTATCGTTTCTATTTTGCTTGATTCCGTGTGGAAAAAAGATCGACCAAATAGAAAATAGAAGAAGTTAATTGGCAATTGATAAGAAAAACTTGCTGAAACCGATACGGCACATGCACACTCACCCTGTCCGAAGGCTGCATCCAAAACGAGTCTATGACTTTGCCAGCCAAGTGACCAGAGTCGGCACCTTACAACACGACTCGAGGCGCAGCCCCGCCTTACACGGAACGAACACACACCGGCTCCAAGGCCGCGCACGAGACGAGCTGACGACTCTGCCATCTAAGCGATTAGAGCGGATAGTCAATAAACCCACTCTAGAGTTGCCGCTCTGGCTTACGCACCATCCCCGGGGCCACAGGCCTACCTATGCGACTCTGAAACTGCAAGAAACACACAAGGCACTGCCGCCAAATAGACGACCAGACCTATGAGGCGACACACCGATGGGAAAATGACGGGTACGTCGTGGACGCCTGCTCCGGTCAAAGCCAAAACATGGATTTTTCATCTAGAAAGTTCGAGAACCAAATGACAGGAGAGGTGAAGGAGCGGCGACACCTCCAAGGAGGGAAATGGCATCCGAGTACACATCCGTCATTGGAATCTACCGACGTCGGTGTGATTCTTTCACCTGGCACTCACCAAACCCCAATCAATGACGCCCAGTCTTCGACTGAGTCACAATAACCATGCATCTTGCATAGCTCACCACTGTGACACCACACTGCATGATGCCCGCCAATATCGAGCCGCCTCAATTGAACAACCACTCAAGCCATGCGACCCCCGGGCCAATCCCCGACCACTACCAGTGAACCGCATGCGCTCCAATGCAACGTCGCGCCTGCCATCGAGCTGTAGCCACCCTGCATTAAAGCGCAAAGACACGTGCATGTATTGTGTGTTATTGTTACCATGAACCATTAATTGTGCCTTAGAGCACTCCTCATGCAAAAGATGGGTGATCTGCTCATTTAATTGGCTTAAGTTCAATATTGATCGAGGAAAACCTAAGATTTTTTTTATATAAACCAACAATGTGCTCCGTCCATCCACGTAGGAAACATCGCAATGCGGTAGTCTTATAGTTCCATCTACTTATGGGCATCTCCCCCTAGGCGGCATATCCCACACTTTCTTTATCAACCCGGAAAGCCCTCTCCGATGAGCCACTAGACTCGAACTTAAACTTATGGTTGCGGCTTGACACGATGGCGGAACAAAGTCTATGAGAAGTGGAGCATGATCCGACGACAACTTGATGTGTTCTAGCGCCCAGACCAATACAAGGGGAAACTTAAAATTCCAATTGGTGGTAGCCAGGACACGTTCAAGATTCTCATGAGTAGAATCAACACAACGATTTGGCCAGGTGAATTGACGGCTCGATATGTCGATCTCTATCAAATCCAAATTGCCAATGACATCATTGAACTAGAAAGGTCACTGATTGTCAAAATGGTCTTTTACTATCTTGGTGATAATGAAGATATTGAAATTCCCACCAATTAACCTGGGATTATGATTACCACGACAAATATAGACCAGGTCCTTGAACTTCTCCTGAGCAGCACCATACACAACAACTAAGCTCCATGAGAAGGTGCCATACTTGTTCCAAAGGTGGAATTCGATGTGATATTCGCCCTTTGAAACAGCGCACGGTACATCAATGTTGAATGGATGCCAAGTAAAATTCCACTCGGCCCTCCAGATGCAGGCAAGACGTGCCAGACATTGTCAAGACCACATGAAAGGTCATCTAAGACATGTTTCTGAAAACAACGTCTAGTGGATTTCGAAATGGCCACAAAGTATAAATCATGACCCCTCACACAATTGACAATATGTTTATGCTTAGCCAAGTCACCCAACCTCCGCTATTCCAAAACATGTCTGTCATGATGAACCATCTTTAAATTTGTAAAGCCTAGCTCGACCCGGGCAGTAGTAGATTTAAATGCTACATCTATTTGTCGTATTTGCACACATAAATTAGTTTCTACTCTTAATCACAGATTGCACCTTAATACATTTTTCTTTTAACGAGGGTTATATGCTACTCCCTCCGTTCACTTTTATAAGATGTTCTAACTTTTCTCAAATCAGATGTATATATATCCGTTTTTAATGTGTTTGTTCACTTATTTTAATGTGTTTGTTCACTTATTTCAATCCGCGTGTATAGTATTAAAAGGAAAGTCCACGTTCTGGCAATGTATGTACTTCCTTTGTTTCGCTCTGCTCTCACACTTGAGAATGTATCATAGGAGTACATCGCAGTTCCATAATACTGATGCTTGCAGTTCCTTTTCTTTTAACTTCTATCTGATTGTTTGCTCATGCCTACCACTTGCAGGCGGAATACTTCAGTCGAAATCAACACCATTTTTCTCGAATTCCCCACAAAACCAATAAACATCTCTAGGAGTTGAGCAGCTCGCAGCAGTGAAGTGATGCAGGGAGGTCCAGGCTACGGGTACGGCGGCTACGGCTACGGTGCCGGCTATGACATGACCGGGTACGGCAACGGCGGAGCGTACTACACCAACGACCGGTACCCCACGCCGGCACCGGCGCCGGCTGCCTATGAGGACCCGCTCGCCGGTCGGAGGCAGCACGACTTCCCGGCGCCGCTCACCGGGCTCGAGTTCCAGCCGTCGGATGCCTGCCCCAAGAACTACGTCATCTTTGATCAGACCTACGACCGGAGCAGGGTCATGTACAACCCGTCGCTGCCCAACAACTTCGGTTCCTCCGGGGGCTATGACCAGCACGGCAACAACGGCGGCTATGATCACAACTACAGCGGCGGCCACGACGGCGGTAAATGCTCGACTGGGCAGAAGGAGGACAGCGACGAGATCGACGCGCTGATGAGCTCCTGGGACGGCGAGGAGGAAGACGACGTGCTGAGCACGGGTCGCACTTCAGGGTGCCGCGGCGACGGCTCCCCGGACTCCACGTGCTCCCCCGGGTACGTGGTGAGCGTCAGCCCGAGTGGCGGCGGGGGTGGCGAGAGGAAGAAAAACCGGATGAAGAAGATGATGAAGACGCTCAAGGGGATCATCCCCGGCGGCGACCGGATGGACACTCCCGCCGCCCTCGACGAGGCCGTCAAGTACCTCAAGTCGCTCAAGGTGGAGGCCAAGAAGCACGGGGTGCGCGGATCAAGAAGCTAGATAGCGACCTCACATGGCAACGCAGGGCGACTCAATGAGCTCAATGATGGAGGCGGAAGACCGGGTAGTTTGGTGCTCCTTTTTGCACTGCCAGTGCCATGATTTCACCTCGTGGAGCTCCCGAGGATCAGTGCAAAGGAATGATGATGGATGGTGTTGTAACTATCAGGCCGATTATATACACCGTGTTTTTGTTTATCCCCGTTGGGCTCCGCACTGCACAGTTGCTTACCATGTTGTCGTTGTTTTGCGAGTCAATTACACCACAGGTGTCTGAACTTGGCGAGAAAAATCAGTTTGGTGCTAAAACTTGCAGCATACATTGAACCGGTGACAGAACTTGGCTTGAGTGTGCATCTACGGTGCTAATCACGCTTGTATACGTACAGGCTGTTGATGTGGCGAGCCAGCATGGCACGGGGCCCACCTATCAGTGACTGGGAGACGCAGACGAGGGCGTTGGCCTGTTTTTCTTTTTGCAAAAACGCCCTAAATTTCATTTTTCTCACAAAAAGCCCCTCAAAAATTTCGTTAAAAATTTAAAACAACACTTTATATCTGTATAACCATTGGGCTGTACCCGTCAGGATACATTACACGGAGGAAATTAATATGAAAAATAACACGCCAGGGAGGTTCGAACGGACGAGCAATGGCTCACTGGCCGACCAGACTAGTCACCAGACCGTGAATAATTTGCTGTCGAAATTGGATAGCTAGTCCTAGTGAACTATAGGCAAGTGCGCACATAAGGCTTAAATGGCGGCTGTCACCGCGGCTTAATTTTTTAATGTTATTATCTTTTCTTAGAATTATGTTGTATTGTTCCTAAAAAATATAAAAAAATAGAACTATGTTGTATTATGTAAATTATAAATAATTTAAATACACAGGAAATACATTATTTAATATAATTTTCATGTACTTTATGAAATATCTTACTTTAAATATGTTCATATAATTCTAATAAATGTTCTTATTTAAAAGAATATTTGTGTAATTCTATAAATACACACACTAATTTAAAAATGTTTATATACATAAAATAATATTTATGTTTTTAATAATATATATTAATTATAATATTCATTCATCTATTCATGTATTTTAAGGCTATAAACATATATTAATTTTGAGCGAAAATTATCATTTCAAATATTTTTTTGTGTAATCTTAAAAATGCTAATGTATTATTTGAATATATAAACATATACAACTAAAACTATAAATATTAATTATAATATTATTTTTCAATTTAAAAACTAACATGTGAAGAATGGGCTGTGGTAACTGCAGCGGTGCAGCCTAAGCCCCATCTACAGTTTCTCAAGAAAAAAACAAGCCCCATGTGCTTGTCTGCTCATAGGATATTATGGCTAGCCTGCCAGTGTTGTTGGTTTGAGCTGGCTGGTTCGACCCATGGCTGACAAAAAAAATTGTATTAACTTCCTCTTCATACTGTTTCCTGACATGTGGGCCTCAAGGGTCATAGAGACAAAATCACGTTTCTGAGCTTTTTTTAGAAAAAAAAACAAGGGGTCTTTTATGATAAAAAAGAATTTTGAGGTGTTTTCTGCAAAAAAAAAACAGGCCAAACTCCTTTGCCCCGTCTCTCATTCACTTACGAGTGGACCCGCGCCATGCTGGCGTGCCACGCCAGCATCCTGTATGAATACATATGTGATTAGCACCGTAGATGCACGTCCAAACCAAGTTCTGTCACTGGTTTAATGTATCCCACAAGTTTTAGTACCAAACTGACTTTCCTCGTCAAGTTCGGACACCTGTGTTTGTGTTTACCTAGGCACATATTACAAGATCACTAATCAAGGGTATCTTTTGCAATGATTATTCCCACCTTGAGTTAAGCATGTGCGTCATTTGTCGCGACTTGTGGTTTTCTTTTTTTAGATTCGTTTATTCAAAATATTTTATCTCTTAAACTGTGCATCAAAATCCTGAACCGTTTCACTATTGAATTTCTCGTGTCGAGATCTTTCAAAGTAGATCTCATGTCAAAGTAGATCCCTTGATTACTTCTCCCCATATATATAGAGCTCAATATTGGTGGGCCGCCTACTGAATTAAGTGAATCACGCGTAGTCGCGAGAACTATATCTCGCTTATAGCAAAATTAAAGAACCTCTCGCCTGAATGATCCGCAGTAATGGGTCGGCCACCTACTAATGCACAATTAAAACAAGAAAAATAGAGAAAAAGGGAGCACCCAAGGATCGATCTCAAGTGTTCTTGGTGCTGAGTAGCAATGCTAGCCATAGAGGCATTTGTCCAATTCATACTAAAATAGAAGATGCGATCAACTTGAGGGAAAAGAGAAGGATTTTCACTGTTTATTTCTCCGTATTTGGTTTTTTCTTTGTTTATTCATTGATTTTCTTTGTTTTTCCTATATTTCACTATTTTTTTCTCGGTTTTCACTGAATTTTTTTCTTTTATTTCCTTTTTTATTCATTTACTTGTTTCTTTTTTGTTTTTTATCGGTTTTATTTGTTTCTTTCACAGTTTTCACTATTTTCATTCTCTTGCATTGGTTTCTTCCTTTTTTATTTTCTTTGTTTCTCTTTCTAGTTTTCGTTGGGCTTCTTTGTTTCTTTTGTTGATTTCTTTTTTGTTGAACACATGTTACCTTTTTAGTACAAATTTAACATTTTTCATATACATCAGAAATATTTATATATACACATTTAGCATTTTGAAATACATGATTAACATTTTTCAAAACTTACATTTTATATCTACTTTTCTCTATACATATTACACATTTTTTGTCAATATCTAATACACATTTAACATTTTTGAAAATACGAGATTAAGTTTTTTAATATATGGACAACAATTTCCCTATACACATTTAACATTTTCCAAATGCTTGATTACCATTTTTCAAATACAAAATTAAAAGTTTTTTAATACATAGTCAAAAAATTTCTATAAACATTTAGCATTCTTCAAATGCTTGATTAATATTTTTCAAATAGATTTGGATCACGTGATCACTTAGATGATTAGAGGGATGTCTATCTAAGTGGGAGTTTTTGAACTGAAATTTATCATGAACTTAGTACCTGATAGTATTTTGCTTGTCTATGTTTGTTGTAGACAGATGGCTCGTGTTGTTGTTCCGTTGAATTTTAGTGTGTTCCTTGAGAAAGCTAAGGTGAAAGATGATGGTAGCAATTACACGGACTTGGTCCGTAAAGATTAACATTTTCTAATACATGGTCAACATTTTTTTCATACACATTTAACATTTTTCAAATGCTTGGTTAACATTTTTCAACTCTTATTTAATATATTTTTCGAAACCTATAGACATTTAACATATTTCAAATGCTTGGTTAATTATTTTTCAAATGTTTTATCTAAATAGTTTTTTGTAATATATTTATTTAGAGTATTTGAAAGTATAAACAAAAGTAAAATAAAAAAAACAAGGTTGTGGCCTCCTGCACCTGGGCCAGATTGACATGCGACTTCCCTGCATCTCACTATAAGCGAGACATAGGGGCGCCCAGGTGTACTCCAATGTAAGCTTCATGCAGCGAGTCAGTTCCTATTTACTGCCTTAAGCTAAGTATTGTTTTTGCAACTTGGAGCACACCCTCCGTTGGACTTTGGGCTCGGCCCAGTTATCTATTTTCTTCTTTTCTCGTTTGCACAATGGGTTCACTGTACGGGAACTCCTATACGGCGCTTGTGGCACCAGCAGCCTCAGCTAGCATCCACGCGTACGTGCTATGGGCCGGCCCAGCTAACATCAGCACGCTAAAACAATAGTTCACTGGCCTAGTGAAAAAGCCTCGCTCGCTCGCCCTCAGTCACCTAGTTCAACCGTTCAACCATTGATTGGTTGTCCAATCAAAAGGGTTGATCATTGAATTTTTTTTAAAAAATGAAAAAATTACTCAATTTTGAAAACAAATCACAATTTAAGAAAAAGTTCATCGATTTTGCGAAGGTTCATCAATTTTTAAAAACAGTTCAACAATTGAGAAAAATGTTCGTCGACTTTGAAAAAAGTTCATCAATTTTCAAAAAACATTCAAAAATTTGAAAAAAGGGTCATCAAATTTGGAAAATTCCATGCATTTGTAAGAATCATATAAAATGAAAAAAGAAAAAGAAAAAAAATGCCAATATAGTGGAGGGGTGGGGACCGGTTTGGGCAAACCCTATTTGGCGCTGCAGGCGCCGGTTTCTACTGTTTTTGCAAACCGGCGCCTGCAGGCGCATTAGCTGCGCCGACCCATCTAGGTTCTTTTGTCTATGTTTAATCCGGCAAAAAACAAAGCGCGTTGGACGTGATTCAAACTCGCGACCAACCTGACCAAGTTACACTCGTGCAACCACCCCGCCACTCCAGCGGATATGTTAAAAATGTACTTTCTCCTTGTGTTTGTTCTTTATAATTTTTCCTTTTTCTTTTTTTATATTTTTTTCTTTTTTGTTTTCCCTTTTCTTTTTTCGTCATCTGTTTTTCTTTTTTTCATCCTGGTTCGTTGAATTGTTTGCAAATACATGAACTTTTCTTTCAAATCAATGACTTTTTAAATTCAATGTACTTTTCCTGAAATTCAATGAACTTTTTTCAAATCACTGAATTTTTTTTCAAATTTGTGAACTTTTTTCCAAATCGACGAACTTTTTCAAATTCGGTGATCTTTGTTGAAAATTGGTGAATTTATTTATTACTTCAGTGAACTTTTTTTAAATCGCTGAACTTTTTTTCAAATTCGATGACCTTTTTGCACATTCGATGAACTTTTTTTAAAATTTGATTAACTTTTTCTCAAAATTGATGAACTTTTTTTGCATTTGATGAACTTTTTTCAAATTCTATTAGCTTATTTTCCAAAATTGATGAACTTCTTTCACATTTTGTGAACTTTTTTTAAATCGGTGAATTTTTTCAAATAGATGAACTTTTCTTATCAAATTGGATGAAAAAATTTCAGAAATGATGAACTTTTCCAATTCAT